CTGCCGCGGCGCCGCGCCGGCAGCGCGGGTTTGACCGTCCGTTTGCCGCGTGTCGCCCTCAGGGCCCCGGTTCCTCCCCGGCGCGGCCGGGGCGGGCGCTGGGCACCAGCCAACCCGGGCACCAACTGCTAAAACCCTTGTTGAGCCTCACTAAGCCTTGCACCCTCCTGGCCCTTTGCTGCCCCAAAGCCATGGGGTTCCCCAGTCCAGTATGTGTCAATGGGTCCTCCGTTGCCTCTGACATCTCCCTAAGCACTTGTATGCTGCTGCACAGGAGTCTGGATGTCTCTGGAAGTGGCACAGCAGCCTGATGCCTCTTCTTGTCGGGGACGTGGGGTCCTTCGCAGCTCTTCTGGCATATGGGGCCCTTGGTGCCCTGCTGCCTCTTCTGGCATTCCCTACAAGCTCGTAGATCCCTCCTCCTCCTCCCCTCTGGTGGGGTGCCAGACCGGTGGCTCCCCCTGCAAAGCTGACATGCAGCACCGCTATGCACTCAGTACACATCTGGGATGGCACCCCTGCCCTGAAGGCCCTGCAGATTCCCACCCTTCCCGCAACCAGTTCCCCCAAAGCCATTAAACCACCCACAGATCCCCCTCTTAAAATAGAAACAGGTTAGTCCTAAGAGGTAGATGAATGTAGCTTTGAGTAATGTGAAGAGCAGCGGTTATGTCAATCACCCTGAAAGCCTTGGAGAAGTGGTCCAAAAATCTGATACCCTCCTGGCCTCATCAGTCCTTTTGCTTTGTTTGGCAGGGCAGTCCACCGAAGGAGGACATCTTGAAGAGAAGCAGCCTAGACTTCGCAATCCACTTGTTCGCTTTGGTCATCACCTTTGAGACAAGTGTCCACTTATAGGAGGAATCTAGGAGATGTAGCAAAAAGGTAATAGGTTTGAAACAGAAGCAAGCAAATTAAATGCTTTCATCCTTCCATGCAGTTAAAGATTGAGAGAATTGTGGGTTAAGCATGTGTACACAAGGGTTTGAGAAAGGATACTGGACAGTATGGTAATACTGAACCAGAATAAATGTAATGTGAAGATAGTGTAGGTAACGTGCCTACCTGTCTCATAACTTAGCTCTAACTGCTGTATGTAATGTTTCCAGACAGTTTTCCCTGTACCGTATGATGGCAAATGAACAGACAGCAGCGTATCCTTCCAAAAGGGGGGTTGCGGGAAGTGGTATTTGTGGCTTGCATGTTATTATTTATGTTGCTTGTGTATGTATTAGATCTGCTTTTGTGCTTAAAAACAACTTTAGTTTCTTATGATTTTCTGCAGAGCTTTCAGCTTTTTTGCTTTGCTTTATACTTTTGTAGGGTGATGGATTTTACCATGCCTCTATCAGCAAGCGCTGGCTGACAGTTATCCTGTCCCAACTGAGACTCTTAGGCAAGACGGAGGAGTTCAGACGCACAGCCTGCCAGAAGAACGTCGCCTGGGAGGGGTTGCTAGCCTTGAGCTGTAGGTGCTGATGCCTATGGCTCGTTCTGCATATGGCTACTACTATAGCGGTAGTATTTTTGTGTTTATAAATTGTGTTAATCCTAGGCATTCAGAACATCGGGGAACGACTATATGCTGCCGTGAAGAATTACAGGCTTACCCCCCTCAGACCTCTGTAAGTTATCGCAGGTCAAGAGCGGCCAGGAGAATCCAAACGCCAGCGGACGCGTCCTCTGCCCGGTCCTGATGAGGCGCCTTCGGCCGTAGGAAAGTTGGCAGCGTCCTTACCGGACCTGTGAGTAATAAGCCACAATTCACGGACCGGCAAAGGAGAGGGGGAATAGCGACTGGCAGCCCAGTCACTATGGCATTGCGGGTGCTAGCAGGGCCACAAGGTCTGTGTGAAGCCTCACCTGCCTGTTTGGACCTTTATTTTGGTCTGTTCACCTGGAATAACCAGTGAGGCCTAAAATAAGAATTTTTGTGGCTAGATGGGTAACCTGTGACCCCACCTGTCTTTGCCTTGCTTTGTTGCTTAATGTAGTAACAGTAACTTGGGACCCCAGAATAAAAACTGTTACAATGCTTAAAGGAGTATCTGCATTTGCCCAGGTTAGGGAATCATAATGAAAGCTGGGAGAGGGGAGACGGCTCTAAAATGAGAACCTCCCAGTGACCTTGGTGGTTTGATTCATTTGCAGGATAACGTTCCAAGGGCCAGCAACTTGAAGAGGAGCAGCTCAACCCATTTTGTTGATTTCGGTGATGCTGTTTCAAGGAAGCATGTGAGTACAGGAGGGTTGGGGAGGGTTTTCAAACGAGACAGGGAAGAACAAGGAAGATTTGAGTGTGTGGAAAAACTAGGTGCTATGAGTACAGAAGTTCTTAAGGGCTGAGAGAATTTAGGGGTTAAGCGTGTGCATATGAAGGTCTGAAAGGGGCTAATGCACAAGGAATAGTAAAAGACCATGACTGAACGCAAGGGTCCGCCTCAGTCTGGGCCCGTGCGTGCACCCTCGCTCTTGCAGACACAGACACTCTGGAGGTGTAGGGATACGGGTAAGCAGGACCACAAGCAGGACTTGGGGAAAACAGCGTGCAGAGAGCTCTGCGTGCTCAGCAGATGAGTGGGGCTGGAGCATGTCAAGGGCTGTTCTGAGCTGTCTGGATCCATCCGGTTCGACTCGCTGTCCCTCTGTCCAGCTCTCCATCTTTCTCTTTCTTTCCCCGTAGTTTTGTCCGGTACCCCATCGCTTTGTTTAGCTACTCGTTCCTCTGCCCAACTCCCCATCCCGCTTGTACTCTTTCCATGCTTCTGTCACTATCTACTTCCCTCTGACTGGCTCCCTATCACTCTATCCAACTCACCATCATCCTCTCCTGATCCCACTACCATCTTGCCGTCCCTCTGTCCGGCTCTCTCTGCCGCTCGTCTGTCTCTCTGTACCTTTCCAGGCCTACGTCTGACCTCTCCAGTCTTCTCTTTCTATTTCCATCCCTCTGTTCAGCTCCCCATCCATCTATTTGCCTCCCTATCCCTGTTTTCCATCTCATCTGTCTGACTTCCCCTCCTTCTTTTTCTACCTTTCTGGCTGGCTCTTCATCCTTCCCCTTTTCTTCTCGTGGCTCTGACTGGCTCCCTGTCCTTCTCTTTCAGTCTCCATTCCTCTGTCTGGTTCTCCACCCTTCTCTTTTACTCCCGGTCCCTCTGTCTGCTTCTCCTTCCCTCCTTTCCTCTCTTTATTTTTCTGTCCACCTCCACATCCCTCTTTTTCTCTCCTGCTCCCTGGTCCTCTGTCCAGCCCTCCATCCATCTGTCTGGCCCTCTATCCCTCTCTTTCTATTCCTTTGTCTAGGGCCCTGACCCTGGGGCCAGGGTTCCATCCTTCTCTTTCTTTCTTTCTCTCTCTATCTGCCAAGCTTTCTATCCCTCTTTTCTTCTGCTCCCTGTCCCTCTGTCCCATCATTCCTTTGAGTTTTGTCTGGTGTGGCTTGTGTCAAGGCGGTTGGCGCTCAGCAGAGATGATCCGCTGTGACTAGAGAGTCTCATCAATCTGCCTGGTTCGGGTCATGTCAGACACCTCTGCAGATACTCTACGTGCGGGGGCACGGAGCTGTGGATGCGCAGTGGGGGAGCACTCCTGCGCGAAAGATGGTGTGGAGGATGAGGTAGACAGTGAAGAAGCTCCTGCGGAAGGTGTCACAGTCAGCAGAGGCTTCGAGTACTCAGGTGTTAGGACAGGTGCTCATGATAGGGCAGTCTGGAGCTGCTGTTGTCCATCCTACTGGTCAGTCTGGAGTTACTGCGTCTTGTCTGCCCGTGCGCAGACAGGGCTGCCGCGGGGTGCAGCTTGAGTTGCGATCGCGTTGCTGGCATCGAGCCCAGTTTTCTGACTTTATGCAAACTGGTGTCTTCCCTACATCAGCCTTGCTCTGCTCCTCTTCCAGGATCCTGCGCTCGACTCTGCTTTCTGGCACGCCGTCGCGTCACAGGGCTTTCCAGCACGGTCTGTCTGACTTGGGCCGCGTGCCAGGCGGCCTGAGCAAGTGAAGCAAAATCCTCCTTCTGTCATTGTCCAGGCCAGAATCAGTTTCCCATCAGCTCAGTCTCTCCAGAGTTTGGAGTTTTTGGAGGCCTTAGTTTTTGTCCTGCCTTGGCTGGTCAGTGCTTTCTGAGAGTGTCCGTCAGCGGCATAGTTTCCCTGAGGAGGACCATCTACCGAAGGCTGGAGGTGGCCGAGCGCCCGAGCGAGCCTGACTGTACGTGAGGGCTGCTGTGACATCCTTGCAATGAAATGGAGCCTGAGAGGGTGACTGAAGCAGCGTAGAGGGTCAGTCATAATTGGGGGAATAATTATGGGCCTTGGACTAGGGAGTAGTTCTAGGAGGGCTGTGCAGTTGCCTGGCCTCTCAGTAACTGTTCTGGCTTCTTTGCAGGTGCTGAAGCATAGTCTGGCAGTCGAAGGAGCGGCGTCACAGCTGGGAGCTCCGCAGAGATCTGCGGCTGGCCGTGGAGGACGAGCTCTGACTTGCAGCGTGGACGCAGCTAAGTCCTGGGGCTGCATTGCGTGTGAGCAGGGCTGGGAGGTGGAAGGCGGTTGTCCCCTGGTGCTTACTGCTGTCACTGGCTGTGGATGTTTGCCCATGGAGCTGAGGAGCCCAAAAATATTAATTGTCGGTGATGGAGATGAGTTAGCGCTTGCAATGTTTCAGGTGGGTTCAGTGGACGTGCAGCTTAGTGCAATCCCGTGGAGCGAGTCTTGCACATGCTGACGGTGGCTAAAACCAAGCCTGTAAACAGCAACTGCAACATGATTCTGGTGCGTGTCTTCCTGTTCTGCTGCCCTTCTAAATGAAGGGGAAACTTCTACTCAGGGGTTATGGTTTATTACTTTATTGTATGGGGCTCAGTCTTTATCGGTCAGCATTTACAGTTTGCTCACTTAGGGATCAGGGTACAGGATCTAAAATCCAACCTCATCCATAAATTGTAAAGTCTCAGCAACCATTCGGGTTCCAAGATTTGCAGTTTGTCACTCAGGGTTCAGGGTTTACGCCTTACTGATAAATGACAAGGGCTGAATCCTTAGGTAATAAACTGAAAGCCCTGAAGCCTGAGCAGCAGGCTGCAAACCCTTCTTTGGGGTTTGTAATTTTCCTCTGTACCCAGCGTTCAGCTCTGTGCAATGACCTGAGGTCTGGATTGGTACGGTGCAGGCCCATCGCACTGAGAGCGGTGATGTGACGGGTGAGGTGAGAGCTGTGAAAGTGTCTTGCAGGGCTCTAGTCTGGGGTAGGGCAGAAGTGATCAGATGGGCAGGATCAGAGATCAAAGATCCTCTCACCTGTCAGAGCTGAATCCTATCCCTGAAGGGAAAAGCCGAGGGGATGGGCTGTCGGCCACTCAGACACCTGCCGCGTCAAGGGCAGCAGCAGGAGCTGAGCCTTCCTCACGGACCGACGAACACTGGTGCGGTGACGACTCTTCAGGTGTCACAGGGTAAGGAGAAGCATGCTGGCACCGAGCTCCATGGCAGACTCTCTCCCAGGTGTTGCTTCTGTGCAGTAAAACAATAAACAGTTGCTTTATTCTTTGCACTCATATCTGTGGTTCCTGCTGTCACTTTGGCTAAAAACAATGCCCGGGGAGGAGGCTGCACGTTGCGTCTGGGGTTGGGAGCTGGTCCCCGCGTCCCTTGTACTTGGGGGTCCCTGCGGTTCCC